CGTGCACCTTGCTTTGCAGGCTTGTGGACTTCGTCGTGGTGTGCCGTGACGATAGAGTGTCAGTTTGGAATTCCTCGTTTCGCTCAGGGTTCTCGCCCGATGGCGATCTGCGACACCGTCTGGACCTCTGAGCATTCGCAGCCGTCCGGGAGGATTAGGGGAAGACAGGTCAGAAACTTGAACTGACCTCCGCTGATGCGACTATTCTCCAGCAGCTGAGACCCTCACAACTTGTCGTCTGTGAAGATTTCGAGATGGAATAGGTCAGAAGCTGACTCCGGTGATGTGCGACATCTCAGTTGCCTGAGACTCTCCCTGTGGTCTTGTTGACTTGCGGCATGTGGGCGTCGGTAGCGAAGATGAAGCTTGAAAACAACTATCCTTAGCTGAGACGTGATGCACAAACAACATCACCTCTGACATCTGAGCTTCTGGGCGCGTTTGTGGTGCGGCATGTGTGCTGTGACGATAGAGTGTCAGCTTGGAATTCCTCGTTTCGCTTAGGGTTTCTTCCCGATGGCGATTTTGCGACACGTTGTCTGGACCGCTGAGCACATCAGTTGTCCTTGTTGGCTTTGTGGTGGCCACATCCGGGGAGGAACGGGGAGAGAATGGTCAGAAACTTGAAGCTGACTCAGTGTGATGCAGCACATCTCCATGGACTGAGGTTTGTTGATGAGTGCTAGTGCTGCTTGTGATTCTTGTGCATGAAAGCGGGCAGCCATTAACGCATGTGGGTTGGAGTTGCGTGTGGTGCAAGAACAGGAGTGGTGATGATACTCATTGATCCAGTTATCCCTAGCTGATTTGGCTGTGATGCCGAATCCAATCACCTCTGACAACTGATCCGACTTAAGTTGTCGTGCACCTTGCTTTGCAGGCATGTGGACTTCGTCGTGGTGTGCCGTGACGATAGAGTGTCAGTTTGGAATTCCTCGTTTCGCTCAGGGTTCTCGCCCGATGGCGATCTGCGACACCGTCTGGACCTCTGAGCATTCGCAGCCGTCCGGGAGGATTAGGGGAAGACAGGTCAGAAACTTGAACTGACCTCCGCTGATGCGATTATTCTCCAGCAGCTGAGACCCTCACAACTTGTCGTCTGTGAAGATTTCGAGATGGAATAGGTCAGAAGCTGACTCCGGTGATGTGCGACATCTCAGTTGCCTGAGACTCTCCCTGTGGTCTTGTTGACTTGCGGCATGTGGGCGTCGGGCGAAGATGAAACTTGAAACAACTATCCTAGCTGAGACGTGATGCACAAACAACATCACCCTGCTTTTTGACAAGCGACTCTGCTGAGACGTGATGCACAAACAACATCACCTCTGACATCTGAGCTTCTGGGCGCGTTTGTGGGAGGGGGGGGGCATGTGTGCTGTGACGATAGAGTGTCAGCTTGGAATTCCTCGTTTCGCTTAGGGTTTCTTCCCGATGGCGATTTTGCGACACATTGTCTGGACCGCTGAGCACATCAGTTGTCCTTGTTGGCTTTGTGGTGGCCACATCCGGGGAGGAACGGGGAGAGAATGGTCAGAAACTTGAAGCTGACTCAGTGTGATGCAGCACATCTCCATGGACTGAGGTTTGTTGACGACTGCTTGGGTCTTGTGATTCTTGCGCATGAAGGCAAGCAGCCTTGAACGCATGTGGGTTGGAGTTGCGTGTGGTGCAAGAACAGGAGTTGTGATGACACTCATTTAAACAACTATCCCTAGCTGATTTGGCTGTGATGCCGAATCCAACCACCTCTGACAACTGACCCGACTTAAGTTGTCGTGCACTTTGCTTTGCAGGCATGTGGACTTCGTAGTGGTATGCCGTGACGATAGAGTGTCAGTTTGGAATTCCTCGTTTCGCTCAGGGTTCTCGCCCGATGGCGATCTGCGACACCGTCTGGACCTCTGAGCATTCGCAGCCGTCCGGGAGGATTAGGGGAAGACAGGTCAGAAACTTGAACTGACCTCCGCTGATGCGACTATTCTCCAGCAGCTGAGACCCTCACAACTTGTCGTCTGTGAAGATTTCGAGATGGAATAGGTCAGAAGCTGACTCCGGTGATGTGCGACATCTCAGTTGCCTGAGACTCTCCCTGTGGTCTTGTTGACTTGCGGCATGTGGGCGTCGGTAGCGAAGATGAAACTTGACAACAACTATCCCTAGCTGAGACGTGATGCACAAACAACATCACCTCTGACATCTGAGCTTCTGGGCGCGTTTGTGGGAGGGGGGGGGCATGTGTGCTGTGACGATAGAGTGTCAGCTTGGAATTCCTCGTTTCGCTTAGGGTTTCTTCCCGATGGCGATTTTGCGACACGTTGTCTGGACCGCTGAGCACATCAGTTGTCCTTGTTGGCTTTGTGGTGGCCACACCCGGGGAGGAACGGGGAGAGAATGGTCAGAAACTTGAAGCTGACTCTATGTGATGCAGCACATCTCCATGGACTGAGGTTTGTTGACGACTGCTTGTGCTGCTTGTGATTCTTGTGCATGAAAGCGGGCAGCCATTAACGCATGTGGGTTGGAGTTGCGTGTGGTGCAAGAACCGGAGTGGTGATGATACTCATTGATCCAGTTATCCCTAGCTGATTTGGCTGTGATGCCGAATCCAATCACCTCTGACAACTGACCCGACTTATGTTGTCGTGCACCTTGATTTGCAGGCATGTGGACTTCGTCGTGGTGTGCCGTGACGATAGAGTGTCAGTTTGGAATTCCTCGTTTCGCTCAGGGTTCTCGCCCGATGGCGATCTGCGACACCGTCTGGACCTCTGAGCATTTGCAGCCGTCCGGGAGGATTAGGGGAAGACAGGTCAGAAACTTGAACTGACCTCCGCTGATGCGACTATTCTCCAGCAGCTGAGACCCTCACAACTTGTCGTCTGTGAAGATTTCGAGATGGAATAGGTCAGAAGCTGACTCCGGTGATGTGCGACATCTCAGTTGCCTGAGACTCTCCCTGTGGTCTTGTTGACTTGCGGCATGTGGGCGTCGGTAGCGAAGATGAAACTTGACAACAACTATCCCTAGCTGAGACGTGATGCACAAACAACATCACCTCTGACATCTGAGCTTCTGGGCGCGTTTGTGGGAGGGGGGGGGCATGTGTGCTGTGACGATAGAGTGTCAGCTTGGAATTCCTCGTTTCGCTTAGGGTTTCTTCCCGATGGCGATTTTGCGACACATTGTCTGGACCGCTGAGCACATCAGTTGTCCTTGTTGGCTTTGTGGTGGCCACACCCGGGGAGGAACGGGGAGAGAATGGTCAGAAACTTGAAGCTGACTCTATGTGATGCAGCACATCTCCATGGACTGAGGTTTGTTGACGACTGCTTGTGCTGCTTGTGATTCTTGTGCATGAAAGCTGGCAGCCATTAACGCATGTGGGTTGGAGTTGCGTGTGGTGCAAGAACAGGAGTGGTGATGATACTCATTGATCCAGTTATCCCTAGCTGATTTGGCTGTGATGCCGAATCCAATCACCTCTGACAACTGACCCGACTTAAGTTGTCGTGCACCTTGCTTTGCAGGCATGTGGACTTCGTCGTGGTGTGCCGTGACGATAGAGTGTCAGTTTGGAATTCCTCGTTTCGCTCAGGGTTCTCGCCCGATGGCGATCTGCGACACCGTCTGGACCTCTGAGGCAGCCGTCCGGGAGGATTAGGGGAAGACAGGTCAGAAACTTGAACTGACCTCCGCTGATGCGACTATTCTCCAGCAGCTGAGACCCTCACAACTTGTCGTCTGTGAAGATTTCGAGATGGAATAGGTCAGAAGCTGACTCCGGTGATGTGCGACATCTCAGTTGCCTGAGACTCTCCCTGTGGTCTTGTTGACTTGCGGCATGTGGGCGTCTGTGGCGAAGATGAAACTTGATAACAACTATCCGTAGCTGAGACGTGATGCACAAACAACATCACCTCTGACATCTGAGCTTCTGGGCGCCTTTGTGGGGGGGGAGGGCATGTGTGCTGTGACGATAGAGTGTCAGCTTGGAATTCCTCGTTTCGCTTAGGGTTTCTTCCCGATGGCGATTTTGCGACACGTTGTCTGGACCGCTGAGCACATCATTTGTCCTTGTTGGCTTTGTGGTGGCCACACCCGGGGAGGAACGGGGAGAGAAAGGTCAGAAACTTGAAGCTGACTCTGTGTGATGCAGCACATCTCCTTGGACTGTTTTTTGTTGATGACTGCTTGTGCTGCTTGTGATTCTTGTGCATGAAAGCTGGCAGCCATTAACGCATGTGGGTTGGAGTTGCGTGTGGTGCAAGAACAGGAGTGGTGATGATACTCATTGATCCAGTTATCCCTAGCTGATTTGGCTGTGATGCCGAATCCAATCACCTCTGACAACTGACCCGACTTAAGTTGTCGTGCACCTTGCTTTGCAGGCATGTGGACTTCGTCGTGGTGTGCCGTGACGATAGAGTGTCAGTTTGGAATTGCTCGTTTCGCTCAGGGTTCTCGCCCGATGGCGATCTGCGCCACCGTCTGGACCTCCGAGCATTTGAAGTTTGTTGGATTTCCCTGTACTCTCCAATGTCGTTATTTTTCGTTTGACCCCTTTATGGCTAGGAGCCCGAACAGGATTTTGCATGCTAGACATTAAATTTATGTGGGACACCAAGCAAGGACCATACACTGCAGACGTCTGGAGACTGGTGGAGTCCCAAGAGAGGTCGGGGTTTAGGGTTTAGGGTTTAGATTTCGGCGATGGCATCGGAGTTTCACATCTCAAGGCAAAGAAAGACCAATGCCCCGAAGCTTACAGGACATCGACGAGCCCCCTAGCTTATTCTAGGTATCTAAGCCTCAGCAACCCTCACCCCTCATCCTGAAGCCCAAACCGTCGCCCACCCCCTAAGCTTATGTCGGATTTCAGCACTTCACTAGCCCAAAACGCGTAAGAGAGTCTAGGCTCTATAGGGTTTGGGGAGCCCCCTCAGAACTTCCAGACCCAAAGACCCCACACACCTGGGTGTCGCATCCTTCGGTGGCGTGCAATGGGGGGCGCGGCGTCCAGCCGGCAAGCTCGTTACAAGGCACCGCTTTTAGGGAGATGAACTGCAAGGCTTAAAGCTCCTAAACTCCTTAAGCCCTGAAGCGGGACTGCGGGCATCCTTCCGAGTTCTGTCAGTTTCGTTTTTGTTGCACAGGTGGAGCCGCTGGGGATGATTGAGCAGAGGTTTTTTTAATCATGCATCCGAGGGGGCCGCGAGGGAAATGAGGTTACTTCTGTTAGTTAGGATGTAGGCTTGTCGTCAAAAAGTGAACTTCGGCAAATATTAGGGTGGGAGGGGGAGGGGGGGGGTTTCCGATCAGGGCCCCAACACAGTGTATGATACACACCAAAACCCTGTTCCAATGATTAAAGGCCCATGTATTTTGGCCCAAAGCCCCGAAGCAAATGAACGCAAGCCTTTAACCTCTACACTCTAAGGAGGATGCCTTCGACCACCCGAATCTCCAACTAACCCCGATCCCTAAATCCTCAACCAGAAGACCATAAACCTTCGACGCGACCTGGTGAACTTCACGCTGTTGCTACAGAAGGGGCCTTAATAATTACCCAAACTATTTTGGGGGCTCCTTATTATAACTATAGTATACTGGGCCCCAAAACCCTAGTCTAATTGTTAAGGCCCCTACTTGAAGGCTCATGGGACTTAGTAAGTAAGGTTATAAGTAGGTTATAATTAGGATAACCCCACTTAGGGGACTTACAACCCCAATTATAACCTACTTACTAAGTCCCATGATCCTCTAAGTAGGGTCGGACCGCTGGACCCTACATCCCAAACCCTATTTATCTATCTGTCTATCGAATGTTCTGTCTATCTGTGTATCTATCTATCTATATATCTGTCCATCTACCGATCCACCTAGCCATTTTTCCTATCTGTCTATCTTTGCACAGATATACTTACATACATACACATATATCCTAAACCTTTGAACAACGTATGTAAAGATCTTGCAAACCAAACGTAGATCCCGGATGAATAAGCCCCCTTTGAATAACTGCCATGTTATCAGGATCTCTATCGCCCGGCAAAGACAGATCAGCCAGCTTTACTGTCTAGTTCTTAGTAGGGAATGGGGGAACGGACTACGGAGACTATTATTGGGGATTATATGGGGGCTACTATAGGGATCCATTCCCCCATTCCCTACTAAGCACCAGACAGTTTATTGACCTGAAGTTCCTAACTCTGTACACGACTTAAAGTAACAGGGGCCTTGGTGAGGCCACTTCAAGTAAGGTATCGTTTGTTATAGCCCCTTGTACTCCGACTTCACCTAGTATGACCCTTCTTTTAGCTTCCCGCGCACCCCGAAATCCGAACAACCCCCCATAAACTCGTATGGAAACCATAAATCTCTGTGAAAACCGTATAGAAGCCCTAAACCTCAAGCTCATTATTTAGAATCACCAACGAACCTTTCGGATTGCCACAGGCCGACAGCGCGGCGGCCAAATCAGACGTTGGTTCCCAGGCAATTCCATATCACCCGCAGGTTCATGGGTGTTAGTAACAATGGTAAGAACAGTAGAAATAATAGCAATAATAGTAGTAATAATCGTAATAGTAGGAATAATCGTAATAGTAGTAATAATAATTGCAATACTCGTAATAGCAGTAATAATCGCAATAATCGTGATTGAAGATTGAAGGGTTTCAGGGTTTAGGATTCAGATTTGAGGAGGAAAGAGTTTAAGGGCTTAATGTAGGATTTGGAATTGGGGGGAGTTGGGTACCTCGGTACTTCGGCAGAGAACGATACTTCCTTACATGGGCCTGGTTGAGTGACTATCAGGTCCTTCTTCGGTTCATTTTTCGTCTCCAACCCCTCAACCCCCTAAGGTCCTCATGATTAAACCAGCTCCTGTGTCAATCAGAGCAAGAGCACCCAGCAGTAGAGCTCATGGGGGAAGCTGGTTCCAGTTTCTAGATCCTCACTATGGTCGGGTCTACGTTGTGAGGCAAGAATTTCTTCACCAGCTTGCAACGCACATCCCCCTAAACCTAAACCAAAACCCAAAACCCTAAACCCTAAACCCTAAACCTAAACCCTAAAGACCACCTAAACCTTAAACTCGGAACCTAAGACCCCCAAACCCCACACCCCAAACCCTAAACCCTAAGGACCCTAAACCGAAATCCTGAACCCGAAGCTAGGGAAGCTCCAGCCCAGAGCTCCGCCCAGAACCTCATAGGGTTTAGAGCACAACTATAGTAGAAGCCATACACAGGATCTAGCAAGTAGATCCCCTAATTTGGGGCCCTATACTACTAAGGGTACTTTGTAGGACCCCCATTAAGGGATCTACTTTTTGGATCCTCCCGGGGGTCTGGGTAGAGTTGGAGCATCATTATCCTGATGCCTTGAGGTAAGGCATAAGAAATCCCAGCACTAATCATCCTAAATCCATGTTCCAACTTTCTGGGGCTCACTATAAAGGCTACAGTCCCCCCCCCCCCCCCCGGCACTGTCAAATCGAACCCGAAGCCCAAACCCGAAGACTACCCCCTCTCCCGATACAAAGGCCATATGGGAGTTTCCGAAAATAGGGGACCCTAATATAGTACCCGGAATAGTGGGATCCTTATTATAAGGACCCCAAAATAAGGTACCCCTAATTTTCGGAAACTCCTCTATAGTCACCCTATAGCGATCTTCGGGTAGCCCTTTAGAGGCGGGCGATGTCCAAGTCAAGCACACCAAAGAGGCACCGGGCTTCTAGATTTTAGGGTTTAGGGGTTTAGGGTTTAGGGTTTAGGATTTTCCAAAGCCAAATCTTCGAAAACTGCAAGCGTTACCAGGGTAGAAGGATCAATGTAGAGTAACAACTTTTCAATATGACAGAGTTGAGGTCATGGAGATTTTTGTGGTGGTCGTGCATTGATGGTCTGGCTGAGGGTGAGTGGACTGAGATTCTGGCTTGAGTAGGTTGCATGTAGAAGGATCCCTGTGTTGCTTTGAAGCCGCATGCCCCACTTTCCGGGATGGAAACGAAAGCCGGAGCTCAGTGAGTGTTCCAAAGCCGAGCGAAAGCAAGCAAAGCTGAAACTTTCCGAAGCCAAAACCATGACTACATGACGGCCGAAGGTTGGGCGTCAATGAGTCAATAATTACAATGGAGTTTCGGTGTAGGTTTATAGTAGAGTAGAGGACATTACTATGACTAAGGCCTGTATATTATATGCCAAACAAGAAAAAGTTCAAAGCGTTCACGGTGAAGGGCCCTACTGATAGCTCGGTCGTACACCCTTAAACAACCTGCACCCTAGACCAGACCCAAACCGAATCCTCAAAGACCCCGAACCCCCGTACCCTAGACCCAACCTGCCACCAAAATCCTTCAGACCCTAAAGAAGTACCCTGAATCCCTTAAGCCCGAAAGCCTAAACCCTGAACCCTAATCCCTTAAGCTCTAAAGCCCTAAAGCCTAAACCCTAAATCCCTTAAGCTCTAACGCCCTGAAGCCACTCCAACAAGACCGGGACCCTAAACGATTGCCACAACACAGAACGACCCTGGAGATCTCAAGCCTGAAGTCAAAGCTGAATTGGAGGTTCATGTTTAATGTTTAGGGTTTAGGTTTTAGGGTATAGGGTTTAGGGTTTAGGGTTTAGGATTTAGGGTTTAGGGTTTAGGGTTTAAGATTTAGGGTTTAGGGTTTAGGGTATGTATGGGTGGGGTGAGAAGTAGGGTAGCTATGTTTCGGGTTCAGGGTTTGGGTAGTTCTAAGTGGTATAAGTATGGCAGCCTTAGTGATCACTGTTTGTTAAGGGCCTTACACCCCACATTACGGCCCAGGCACTTGGAACCCACATTGTGGGACTTATCGCCCCACTCAAAACTATCCATGAACCTGCAAGGATTACAGTAATGTTGACCTACTTTTTATAAATACCCCCTCAATTATAAAACCCCACCCCCGGAACTCAATTATAAACCCCCCCTCAATTACAAAGCCTGCCGGCCCAAATCCCCGAAATTAGATACTTCTCGTTCTGTGTTGTTGTGTGTTGGTTGAGAGAGAGAGAGAGAGAGAGAGAGAGAGAGAGAGAGAGAAAAAGGGAGAGAAACTGCAGCTACTACGAGAGCTTGAGGTCTGCAGAGAGAGAGAAACTGCAGCTACTGCCAGAGCTTGAGGTCTGCAGAGAGAAAGAAACTGCAGCTACTGCGAGAGCATGAGGTCTGCAGAAAGAGAGAAACTGCAGCTACTGCGAGAGCTTGAGGTCTGCAGAGAGAGAGAAACTGCAGCTACTGCCAGAGCTTGAGGTCTGCGGAGAGAGAGAAACTGCAGCTACTGCGAGAGCATGGGGTCTGCAGAGAGAGAGAAACTGCAGCTACTGCGAGAGCTTGAGGTCTGCAGAGAGAGAGAAACTGCAGCTACTGCCAGAGCTTGAGGTCTGCAGAGAGAGAGAAAGTGCAGCTACTGCGAGAGCATGGGGTCTGCAGAGAGAGAGAAACTGCAGCTACTGCGAGAGCTTGAGGTCTGCAGAGAGAGAGAAACTGCAGCTACTGCGAGAGCTTGAGGTCTGCAGAGAGAGAGAAACTGCAGCTACTGCGAGAGCATGGGGTCTGCAGAGAGAGAGAAACTGCAGCTACTGCGAGAGCTTGAGGTCTGCAGAGAGAGAGAAACTGCAGCTACTGCGAGAGCTTGAGGTCTGCAGAGAGAAAGAATCAGATTTAGAGGGCCTCAGAAACCATGCCTTCCCTTAATAAAATTCCTTTTTCCCGGAGCCAAAAATCAATCCATCCTGATGGAGTACTTACAAAGGCCGTTCTTCGCAATTATAAACCCCCCTCAATTATAAACTCCTGCCGGGGAGGGCCTTTTGGTGGTGCCTTTAAAGGCCTTGAAAAGGACAGCAAGCTTTACAGGCCAAGCCCTTCATTGGGAAAGCTCTGGATTCAAAAGAAAAGCAAGCTGTGGGAGCAGAGTCGTTGATTGGAATAACCTACCTTTAGCAGCCATGCCCTTGCTTGCGAAAGCTTCGGCTTTCAAAGGAGGAGGGAGAGGACAGCAGGATCATTGTTCATTGCTGGTACTTTACCAAACGTGCCTTGTCCGCCGGAAGAGCTGGACTCAGAGGCTGTGCTACTACTGTACTGCTACTGTACTATACTACTGTACAACTGTACTATTGTGATACTATACTACTGTACTACGACGACCGACCCCCCCTCAATAATCAATCCCCCCCACCCCGGGCGCCAAATCAATCAAGGGGGGGGGTTATTAATAGGAGGTTGACATTACGGTTTACGGTTTCGGGGTTCAGGGCTTTAGGGGTTTAGGGGTTTCGGGCTTTTTCGGGTTTAGGGTTTAGGCTTCTAGAATTCAGGGTTAAGGGGCCCCAGGTCCAGGGGTTCTGAACACGACTCGCCGAGAGGTGCGGCCGATGGCGGTCCCCCAGCCTCACCCTGTGGCTCACAAGCAGGCCTTTGCTGTTGCTGGGTTTGGGCTGTTTTTTTGTTGGGGTTTAGGGGTTTTTGTATGTTTTTGTTAAGGGATTCAAATGAAGTATGTTGCCATACTACGGGATCTATAGTAGATAGCGGTAATTTATATAAGTTAAATTCCTTAACAAGAGCCCAGTTTGGGGCTCAGAGTCTGGGGTTCAATTTCTTGGGCAGGCTTTTGGGGTTTAGTAGTTTTTTTTTGCAGGTTTTTTTTGGCGGGGTGGGAAGGGGGTCAGGATTCTCGTTTTGGGGTATTGACTTTTGTCGCAGGGTTTCGGGGTTCTTTGGTTCTTGTTTCAGGGCTTGGGGTTTGGGCCCTAGAGTTCAGAGTATAGTTTAGGGCTTGGTGTTGCGGGTATAGGAGTTGGGGTGTAGGAGTCAGGGTTTGATCTGACAGGATGCTTCCAGGGCCTTGGCGGCGGGGTTTAGGGCAGTTGGCAGGGCGAGCTGTTTTTGTAAATGGCCGCTGCTGAGATTCTTTGTAGGATTGTTTATGTGGCGCTCCCGATCTCGGATTCCGGCGGGAGGTCAGGTACTTATGTCGGGTTTGGTTTTTGTGTGGCTAGATTGTAGGCCATTCCAAACTGGTTGATCAAGATTGCTTTTCAACACCCAAGGCGCTGCTAATGTACTTCTTGGCTGATGGAGCTATGTTTGTTGTGGTCCAAGAATGGTCTGAGTACACCTTCGTAACGTTGTGTCCCACGTGCTCGTGACATGACTCCACGAGGACGTTTCGCATTCAAAGCACTCTTGGCAGGGTCAGCTGTCAACAGATGATGCTGTCACAGGCTGTCGCCGAAACTACCTCACAGGGACCCTTAGGGTGGTACGGGGAGGAGGGTAGGGGGCCTTAATGCCCAGAATAAGGACCCAATAATGCCCATATAAGGAAGTATAGTCCCCGACTCACCTCCCCCTTACCCCCCTAAAAGTCCCTATGACTATGGGACAGACAGACGGCATGAATGGAAGCATCAAGACAAGAGCATGAACGAGGAGTACACATCCTGTGAAAGGGTGTGAAGAGGCTTACAGGCTGGACCGGGGATTGTTGTTCTGTAAGACGAGCAGTCTCTTCACATCTTCTGGTTTCTGCCTGACATGGTTGCAACGACTGGTCCTTTCTGCCCTGCCGTAGTTTGATAGTATAGCCAATGCTATGACTTCTCGTCTAGTCGTAGCCTAGCCCTAAGCCATGAGCCCTAAACCCTATAAACAATTAACGGCGAACCCCCCCAAAGCCCGCAACCGTAGAATGCCGGTCAGGCGGACACCCATCGCATCCTCTCTGCGCACACGACCTCCAAGGTGGGTTGGGTTGAAGAAGGGCCTATGTGTCGGTTTTGTCAGTGAAGCTTCTTGGAAGCGCAAACCCCGGCGATACACGGAAGTGTGGTGAGAGAAATCCCGTTTGAGCTGCGGGCTCAGCAAGGAGTTTCCGACAATTAGGGGTACTTTATTTGTTGTCCGTATAATAAGGATCCTACTATTCAGGGTACTATATTATATATTAGGGTCCCCCCATTTTTGGAAACTCCCAGCAAGGAAGCCTCAGACTCGGCCTTGCTGAGACTTTGAACAGCGACTTCGAGCGATTTAACCATATAAAGCCCTACATAGAGCCCTTTAAAATCCCTGTAGAGCGGAGGTGCTGTCGGAGAGCCTCCGAACACACGCCCAGGAGGCGCAGGCGCAGCGGGTTCGTTTCCTCAGAGGGCTTTAGGAAACGTTGGGGTTCCTTTAAAGGGGTCCTGAGAGCTTTCTCGTATAGACATAAGAGACCCCTGCGAGTAGTTTTTCGCTAGAGCCGGAATATGCGCGCTTGAGTTTTGGACCCATGTTTGCGTCTGAGGCTGCAGCTTCTTGGCTTGAGTTTGGGGCTCCGTGTGTATATGGTAGGCATCCCGCAAGCCCACGCAGGCCGTTGTTCAGTGACAACTTCGGCGGTTGTGATCATTACATGCTCATGTACGAATAATGCGGTCAGAATAATCAGTATCAACGGCAGTCTGGCTGTAGATCTTGTCGACCGGCAGGAAGCAGGGTTGCACAACGGTTCTGGCGGTAGCAAGTCAGCATTCGCAACCTGAAGGGTTGCATATCTTGCGTAAGCATCCGACGTCCCAGGCTGCTACGTAAGCATCCGACGTCCCAGGTTGCTAAAGCCCAAACCACTCATGTCCCGAGCCCAAGCGGCCAACACCTTCAGCTTTGGCTTCCTAAGTCCATAGCCCTGAACCCCGAACCTCAAGCCCCAAACCAAGCCCTCAGCACCCCTAAACCCTAACCCTAAACCCTAAACCCTAAACCCTAAACCCTAAACCCAAACCCTAAACCCTAAACCCTAAACCCCAAACCCTAAACCCTAAACCCTAAACTCTAAAACTTGAAATCCCTAGGCCAAGCCCTCACACCCCCAAAGCCTCAGCCGAAGGACGAGCACGTGCGCGCGAAGCTGATGCAGGCGCGCGCGCGCTTCCGTCCGGTGAAGGGCCCCGGGGTCCTCTTTTAGGGTTTAGGGTTTCAGGGTTCAGGGTTTAGGGTTTAGGGTTTAGGGTTTCAGGGTTCATGTTTAATGTTTAGGGTTCAGGGTTTAGGGATGTCTGGGGTTCAGGGTTTAGGTTTTACTGGTGTAGGGCTTTTATGGATTCAGCGTTTTTCAGGGGTTTAGGGTTTCATGGTTTCAGGGTATTAGGGCTTCTGAGGAGTTCCATCGAGGTTCCGTTGAATGTGTCAAGGGCTCCGTAGGTGATCTTGTGGGTGCAAGAAGTGAAAGGCTCTATAGGGGATCTATAATTTTTTTCAACGGGGTATAGGGTCTTGGATTTCGCGGTTTGCGGACGGTTTGCAGTTTGCCTCTGGGATTTCATCGTTCAGGCCCTAGAGAGGGAGGGTATAGAGATTTGTGGCCATGCTTCGGGTCATGGTCCAGGCCCTGGCAATCCTGAAGAGTAATTAAATCTATACGAGGACAGCGTGCATGAACCTGATGACATGCACCGAGCGGTCTGGGAAAGACTGCCGGTGCACCCTTGAGCAGCTTGGGAAGCAAGTCCTTGCGGCCAACCTTCTCCTCGACTGCGAGGAGGCGACGCAGGACGCGAGCTCCGCTGGTGCGCAGCAGCTTGTGGAGATGACTGGCCAGCCTTTAGCAAACTGCTTGGCTGCCCTCGCGCAGGCCGGCGGAAGCCCGGACCTCGCCGCAGCTTCTGCTTCTTGACCATCTCATTCGTGTCCCCTTTCTCTTCAAATAGCCCTGGCTTAAGTGATGGATTCTGGTTTCTGAGGCGGTTGAGGGTTTAGTATCAGTCTAATCCTCAACAAATTGAAGGTTTTGCAGTGCAGCTATTTTACTTAGTGGCTGTAAAACAAACTTTTCAACTTTTGGTTGGAATGGGTTGTATGTTGCCTAGTATAGCAATGAGAGAGGGTTGTTTGGGGGGTAGAGAGCTAAAGAAGGGGATGGGAAAACAGTAGAGGTGATTCTTAAGGTTTTGGTTTTGGTTTTAATGGGGTTGTATGGTTTTGAAAAAAGCCGCATAGCTGTAGTGCTCGAACGTAGTCTGACCCTCACAACAAGCCTTGAACTTTATCACTAAACCCTAATTTAGGGTCAAACCGATGGGAACCCCCCATGAGCCCGAACCTCGCACCTACTCCGCCGAATTATTATACGATTATTAGTCTAATACTAATACTGTTATCACTGCCGGGGCCGAAATCTTAGTGGTAAGAGACACTAGTTCAGTTGAAACCCTGACCAACCGGACTTAACCCCTAACCTCTCTTAATACTCCAGCAAGCCCTCTTATTAATTGCTATCCTGAAACCCATTCTACTAGTCTACCCCAAAGTTGAAAGGTTGGGTTCACGGCCACTTAGTCTAAGACAACCAATTCTAAACCCAAATGGAAATTACAGCAGCTCACTTGCGATATTATAGTAATTTTAATAGTAACAGTGATCATAACCACAAATGGTAATGGGAACAGCAATGATAGCTAAGAGTGGCAATAGTATTAATAGTATTAGACTAGTAATAGTACAGTAAGTAATAACCACAAATGGTAATAGGAAATCCTAGCACCAAAACCTCAAACCCCTACTAAACCCTTAAGCCCAAACCCTTAGACTCAAGCGAAAGTTGAAAGAACTCTGAACCCCGAAGCCCCGAAACCCCTAAGCCCCGAACCCAAACTTAAATTCCCAACCTCATAAGCCAGCCTTAAACACCAAAACCGTCAACCCTATATCCGTACCCACCCTTCTCCAACCCTAAACCCTAAAACACTAAACCCTAAAGCCCGCCGCTCTCGCCGACTCCGACGGCCTTCTGCGTCGCGCCGCAGCCTGAGGGGTTTAAAAGTTTAATTAGGTAGTTAGTGGTTACCCTAAGCCCGGTTGACCCCCCCCAGATAAGCTGCCCTGCGAGTGCCCTGCATCGTCTGCACTGGGTTCCATTGCCGGTTCTTCGTGAGCCTGGCTTTGGTTCCCTGCTCGTTTGCACTGGGTTCCATTGCCGGTTCTTCGTGAGCCTGGCTTTGGTTCCCTGCTCGGTCTGGCGGAGGCGGTTCTTCGTGAGCCAGCCTCCAGCCGACCGAGCTAGGGCTTCGGAGCCGGTTCTTCGGTCAGGCTCGTTGCCGGTTCTGCGTGAGCCAGGCTTCGATGCCGATCGAGAGATCCACTGCCGGTGAAGGGCCTGAGCAGGCTCCCTGCCGGTTCTGCGTGAGCCTGGCTTGGATGCCCACCCGGATCGGCCTGGCCACCTGCCGGCGGTACCTCCATCGGGGTTCTCGCCTGGCTCGTGTGCCGGCCGGTCTGAAAAGGGATTTTTTTGGGTTTTCCCCGCCCCGAGCCTGAGACCTTAGACCCCTTCTCAGGGTTCGGGATTTGTACCTTTGCTTTCGGTCCTTTAATACCCTTAGCGTTTCAGGGTTTTTTTTGGCTGGATTCGGTTTCGGGACTTCGTTTGAGTCTGTGAGGTGCCTGGGTTTCGGGATTGATTCGGATTGATGCTGTATGATGCTGTGGCCGAGGCCTGACCGCCATGCCGACTTCATCGACAGCATTGGGCCAGGCACTCGACTGAATGCAAAGCAGCAGTATCCCAACATACAACATTATATTAATATTGTTGTATGTTGGGATATTGTTTTGAATTGCGAATTACGAATGATTGCACTGTATTCTGGTATGACTGAGGCCTGATGAGATGCAGGGTGCTCGGTTTCTGGACCGTCTTTCTAGGCCCCTCCTCTGACGTTGGCTCATTGCTTTTGCCTGACTGAGGCCTGACCCGGCTGTGGACTCTGGACCACGACTGATGTCGGTGCTGCGATGCCGACAACTCAGCAGGTTTGCAGACCTCCGTCCGTATTATCCATTCTTGGCACGTTTACCGGTCCTGAGGCTGGAGGCTGACGACTTTGGCATCACGGGGCTCCATCTCCGAGGACTGCAGCCTGCCGTTCGCCTATTTGTTGGAAGCATGTGTGCATGCTTGAATGTGCTCGCTGTGCGTGCTGCAACTTTTTTTGATCAGACATGTCGTGTCATTGGACTCATGCCATGATGGCTGCCTTGGTGGCTGCCTGAAGCATTCACTCAGCATCGACATCACACCATGCCCGCCCGGACAGCACAGCACTTCATCACATGACATTGGACATATCACAGTCACAGAGCCCTATAATTAAAGGGCTTCCCAGCTCCTGAACCCCCGGCTCCTGCCTGAAATGGCGTCGTCATCATCCAGCTCTTCGAGCTCCTCCTCGTCGTCTGAGTCTCGTCCAAGGCTGGTTTCGGCTCTGCTTTGTATGGTCTAAGCTAAATCTTGGCCTTGTGTGAGGGTGGAACGAAAGAATCGAAAGAAGCCAAATGCACGGAAACGTGCACAAAAGAGGCTGAATGCCGAGGCGGGACTTTCATAACTCGGTTGGCCGTTTTCATTTCTTTATGTCTGTGTCGAGGCTGACAAGGTCGCCGAGGATCTTCTGAAGCCGCCTGAGGCGGGATGTTCGCACTTCCATCTGTCTTTAGCCCTTAGCCCGGTCAGGTGCCCCCGCCCAAGAAGGAGGCTGACACATCCAGGAAGAGCCAGGGCGAGGCGGGACTCGTGTACCGATTTCTTTTGTCGTCCTTAGCCTAATCATAAACCCCTGTGCCAGGAGAAGAAGCAGAAGGTGGCTGCCAAGGAGAGCTCCAAGCCTGAGGCGGGATTTTCGTATTTCGTGAGCAGCTGTCATTAGGTCGGACTGCCAGGAGAAGAAGCATGCCAAGGAGAGCTCCCAGCCTGAGGCGGGATTTTCGTATTTCGTGAGCAGCTGTCATTATTAGGACTTAGCTAATAATAATTAACCCGGCCAGGTCCATCCGAACAAGCTTCCGAAGGAGCACTCGAGGGCTGGACTTGCGTGAGCATTCATGTGGCCTTAGCCTTATTCTGAGAACCCGGGCAGGACGACAAGAAGGCGGCTGAGAAGGCGGCGGAGAGCTCGTCCAAGAAGGCCTTCACCCTTGGAAAGTTTCAATCTCGTCTCCGTCAATCGCAGCCCGGCCAGGCCAAGAAGAGCAAGGATGAGGAGGCTCAGGGGAAGGCTGAAAAGGAGAAGAAAGAGAAGAGGAATGAGAAGAAAGTGGAAAAGGAGGCTTTAAGCTTTGCCGCTTAAAATAAAAAGCCACAATCTTTGGTCCTTAAACCCAACCCAGCCACAATCTTTGGTCCTTAAGCCCGAGCTCGGCCAGGTTGCGGAGGTGAAGCCTGACAAGAAGACAGAGGCCCGTTTTTCTTGCAGTAATCACGAAAGTCTTAAAGCCGAAGCCCCCGGAGGACAAGGCGAAGACCTCGGAGCCCTCCTCGAGCAGCAAGCCCATCGTGACTGAGGCACGTTTTTTGACACATTGGCTCCAGCATTGGTCCTGAAAATCATTATAACCTGCCTGCCCAGGCTGAGACTCAGACTGAGGGAAAGGGAAAGGGCAAAGGAAAGGACAAGTCCCCTAGCAAGGGAAAGGGCAAAGGCAAGGCCAAAGGGTCGAAGAAGAAGAAGAAAGATAAAGGAAAGAAGAAGGATAAGAAGGAGAAAAAAAGCAGAAGAAAGAGAAGAAGGATAAGAAGGAGAAGAAAGAGAAAAAGGAGAAGGAGGACAAGAAAGAGAAAAAGGAGAAGGAGGACAAGAAAGAGGCTGAGGAGAAAAAGAAGGAGACTGGACAGACTCTGAACTGTGTTTGCATTATCAATGTGCATTACCAATCCAGTTGCAGGAGGATGACTCCTTCGACAAGATGCTGGAAGATCGGCTGAAAGAGCAGTCGTTCGATTCGTTGCTGGGCCTCTTTACCCGTCGGGCCACACTGCTGGTTACCTTGAAGGACCAGGTGAAGGCCGGTTCCGCCGATGTTGCATTGTCATTTTATGTCACTGTGAACTTCTCTCCGAGTGTCCTGCCTGCCGCCAGCATGCCC